TGATAGACAACAGAGGTTCTGTCATCTTTGACTTGTACGCTTTGTTTACAGAGGACCAGTTTCCAGAACCTCTGTGATAGACAACAGAGGTTCTGTCACACTTCACTTGTACGATAGAACATCTTCTGTTGTTGGTCCTCTGTGGTCTTCTGTGGTGGAACTTCTTCTGTCAACACTTGCAGCATTTACTTTTTCCATACTTTTACATTTAAAAGAAATGAGAGCTAACAATTTATATAATCATATACATTTACAGATAATATCATGCAATTATCATAATTACTTTTTAACAGATATTTTCATAATTATCCTCCAAAAATAATTATTTCAACAATTAACATGATTTAACATGGGTTTCTACAAATTGAGGCAAACGTATTCTTTGTACGTGACCCTATAGATTTACATATTTATTAGCAATATCCATGTGTGACATGTGTCTTGAGATATAATAACTTATATGAATCTAGGCTATAATTAGGGCATTAATTTTACTACTAAGACAAATATTTTTACTTGAATAGTACTTCAGTAGGACCTTCATTGAGTATGACACGGTCCCCAAATTTCATATTTAAGAACAATCGAGTACGACCAAGTATCGTCTTAAATGTTCTTTAGAAAAGTCTTTGTTGGACCACCCCCGACATCCTAATCTTTGTTCTATCACTTGATATATGCACTACAAAACAGTGACTTCTTTTGACAGAATAATATGTTGAAAAATGGATTTAGGCTGCCGGAAAACACAATTTCCGATGGAATTTGCAATGGATTGACCATTTTCGGCGGATTCCAACCATTGGAAATCCGCCATTAAGTTTTTATCAATTTTCTGATTTTCTTGATTTAATTAATTAACTTAGTAATTAAGTTCAAATTACCAGCAGATTTTCTGTCGGTAATTTTAATTAATTTTTTAAAAAACTTATTTTTTATTTTTTAAATTTATTTTTTATTTTTTAAATTTATTTTTTATTTTTAAAATATTTACCGGTGGATTTATGACGGACGTCAACAAAAGTTGATTTTTTTAATTTCCGACGATAATCCGTCGGAAAGTCATTTTTCGAGTAGTGTTACAGTATGAAAAAGTCTTTCCAGAACTCGTATAAACTGATTGTTAATTGTATCTAAACTTGGTTTCAAAAACATTAATTTTATCTGGTACGTGTTTCTGCAGTTTCCTGCCTTTATTCACTTATTCACATGTGAATTCATTTTGAAGCTTCTCAAACAACACAAGACATGGCTGCAGTTTCCCGCCTTCATTCACATGTGAATTCAATTTGAAGCTTCTCAAACAGCACAAAACATGTTTGCAGTAAAAAACAGCAACTGTCAAGCGAATTTCCAGGAGCTATCTTCCAAATACTCATTTAATTAACAAAGCTGTTCACGTCAATTACCAATTATGCACGCAATAGCAAAAAAAAAAATCAATTATTTCTGTCATCATAAAAGAAAGAAAGTGAAGATGAGATGGGTTTCTTTACATTTATTCAAGTATGCTTCCTTGAATTCGTTAAACCACACCATCGTTGTGTGTTTCCTTCTACCATACGTTTGGCCGATATCGATATCGGCCATCAGAAATTAAACATGGTTACAGCTCGTAAGAACGAAAAATGGCTCAAGCCTTGATTCGCCTAAGCGCAAGATACGCCAATAATCTATAACCGAAGAACATGATGACCAAAATGCCGATGCATGAAACGGTCGATATTTGACCTGCAATATCTTCTTCAATGAATCTGCAGCTTGCATGTTTATCACCATAGTGAAAACATCCCAACAAATACCAGATTTCCCTTCCATGCCCATATTGAACATGGATCAGTAGCCTGTAACTGTAAAATGTAGATGAAATGTATTTCATCCAAACCATGAAAGCAGGCACCTTATGCACGTAATACCCTCCGGTTAGCACGAATGCAAGCATGGTCACAGTTACGACTGTTGACGCTTGTTTAGCATCCATTATGATCGCACCAATGGCAAAGCCGAGTCCTTGGGACACGAGAACGTATGCTAGCAAGATCAATAAGGTAAAAAGAAAGGCACCCACTTCAGGCTTTAGCCCACACATCCAGTAAGTAATCGAGAGAAATAACGTAGGCAGAATGAGTTCCATGGGTGCATCTCCGACTATTCTGGCCATAAAATACGAAGAGAGGGTGTACATGCCAGAGGCTCTTTCTTTCATGAAAACGGCCCGATCTTGAGGGAATGCAAACACTGCGTTGAACGAAGGATAGACACCCCAAAAGATGGAAATGAAGAACAAGAGGCCAAGACGATCTTGGATGTCCCTAAAATCTGAATGCCACCACATAAAACCGGCTAACAATGAGGCTGCGATTACTTGGAAAACTCGAAGCGGATTGAAGGTCTCGTGCTTTCGTTCCTTGAGGCTTCTTTGGATGAGAATGGTGAACTGAATAAACCAGGTGTTGATACTGTTTACGCATTTATTTGTGTACTCTTTAGGCTCGAGATTCGCAACGGGCATATGCTGATCTCTCAACGTTTTATCTAAACACGCGTCCTTTACTTCTGATGCCAGCAACTCGTTGTACGAAGATGTCAACGTTTGTTTTATGTTCGGCCTCTCTTTGTCAGTTATCCCGTCATGTTGCCACACACCTAACACAAATTGAATCAAGTCATTCATAGCACAGTAAGTGGTTTCGATAAATTATTCGTGTATCATCACAGATAGACGACTCGTGAAATTTTATATATGCGTTACACAAACAACATGATACTCGTTGGCACTCGATCAAAGTGCCTCCCGGCATTTCAAAACGAGTAGAATCCAAATTCAAAGTTTTCAATCATCACAACAAAATATGCTTTAAGACGCCTAGATGTCTAAATGTTGGGATAAAATACTTTATAGAACTTAAGTTTATAGGATCAAACTATAAAGTGTCATGTCTTAAAGTGTTACAATAGGTTGATAGATACTTTTGAGATAAACATATTGTAACACTTTTAGATATGATGTTATTTGGTTTCATCATCACATAAATTATTTTCTTAGGACACTTGCATATTTTATCCATCCTATAAAAACCAATTTTGACTATTCACAAAATGAAAGACTCGAACTTTAACTATTGCAAGTAGTATGTAATACGATAAAACTAGGTGGTGTAACATTGGGGTTCCGAAAGTTACTCGCACTAAACACTAAACCCCAAAAAGCATTTTGCAATGACCACTAGCTAGAACATCATGGGTTTCCTGGGACGTACATGCATCCTAACAAATTACATATCGGAACCTCTATGTTTTAGAATCAACAATATATATATATATATATATATATATATATATACTTGGGATTAGGGATGGCAACGGGGCGGGGTTTGCAATCCCCGGCCCCGGTTTGTGTACAGAGTCCCCGGCCCCGGCCCCGTCCCCGGTCAACCCCCGGTCAACACCCGGTCAGTTTAAAATTAATTAGTTTTTCTAAGGAATTAGGCGGCCTGTGGTGTCGCCTGTCGAGTGCGGTGACACTGGTGAGTGGTGACGGTGACAGGCGTGAGCCGACAGGAATGTGGAGGTCACGAGGGTCGACGGACGAGTGGACAACGGTGTAGAAGAGATCGAAGTCGACGAGAGCGGAGAGTGGAGACTGGAGTGTTGACGAGAGCGGAGAGTCGTCGACTGTCGTCTGTCGAGAGGAATTTTAGGGATGGAGGAGTCGATGTCGATGGAGTATGGACTGATGGTAGGGATGGAGGAGTCAATGGAGCATGGATTGGACTGATGGAAGACGATGGACTCTGGCATATCAATTACATAAGCCCAAATAATTAAAATATCAACATAAGTCCAAATAATTAAAATATAACATAAGCCCAAATAATAAAATATTTAATATTTATATATATACCGGGTACGGGGCGGGTTGGGGGATACTATACCCGGCCCCGGCCCCAACCCCGGTTTGCCTCAACCGGGGATCCCCGGCCCCGGCTCCGGTACCCGGTTTAGCGGGGAATCCCCGTCCCCATCCGGGTCGGGTGAACCGGGTTCCCCACCGGGTCGGGCCAAATCACCATCCTTACTAATGTGAGACCAAGGGTTTTTCGTGAGACTCGTAAGACCAATTCTTAACTCTTGAAATAGATCTATAATCTGATAATCTGAACATTCATAAACGTCACGAGACTTCTCAATAATCACAAAATTGCCACCGTGCAACTTTAGACCATCATCAACTTATAAAGTTGATCAATGAACATAAATTGGTCTTATGGGTCTATGAAAAACCTTTGGTCTCACGTGAACCCAACAATATATATATATATATATATATATGTGTGTGTGTGTGTGTGTGTCTCTTATACAGTAGTGTTATATCAAGTTATTAATACGAAATTATATGACTTAGCTTACAAGTTCTATCGAAAATTTTAGGCAAACGGACAGGACATGATAAATAAATCATCAATTAATATTTTTATAGGAGACTTTTGAAAATTGTCTTGCAAAAAAGACTACTAAGACGTTTTTCATAAGCGGTATATAAAAGTTATTAAGATTGTTTATTTATCATGTACTGTTAGGTTCTCCAGGTTTGGTAGAAAAACCTGTTATAACGTCCGACTTCCTCTAACTTATTGTTGTTAAATGTACTTGAATGTTTGTCTTCTAAAATTAAGACCTATTAAGTACTCTCACTACAATATAATCTAGTTTATAGAACGTAAAATATAACCAAGTGTTTTAATTAATAAACTGTTTTATAGTATCAAACAATAAAATATTATATCTAAAAGTGTTACAATACATTTATAAGAAACTTTTGGGCGCTTTTACAAGTTTTTGGGACATTTATAAAATACGGTGGTGTTTTAGGTGTTTTGAAAGACATTTAAATAATGTCATATAAAAAGATTTCAAGCATTTACTAAAAAAAACATGTTAAAATATCCAAAATCGTGTGTCCTATAATATTAATATAAAACTTGTTTCGTTTTATAAACTTATTTCCTATAGAACAGCCTATTAAGATACATAAACATCTTTGACATCCTATAAATCCAAATTTATCGTAGCATTTATTAAATAATCTATAAAAATAACAAGACGTCATTAAAAAAACTCATTTTGTTGGACCAATTAAGCAAAAACACAATGTGGGAATCATGGTAAACTAGAAAAAAAAAAAAAAAAAGGTTAAGTGGTATGATGCTGGTGCTGTAAAGTAGAAGTGCACTCAAATTGCAGCTAATGGGGTAAACGACAACCACCCACCCTAAACCACTTTATGATCTCAAAAAGGTGTCACTTTAATAGTATTATTGACCCTCATCACATGTGATTGGCACTAATAAATATCAATTTTAATAGCATTCAGCGCGCGCAGCAGCCAGACACACACTTATATTCATACATATACGTACATATATATATATATATATATATATAATATATAAGTTCGAAAAAGAATTTTTTTCCTGATGACTTGATTACGACCTTGAAGTCACGAAGGATCGAGTAGCGCTACACGTTTCTATAAGTCAAGCCTCACCAGTAACCTGACATTGAATCTATTATGTGATTCCGTATTAAGCAGGAACGGATCCAGAAGTTTTTTCAAACTGTGACACCATTTGACTATAAAAAAACAAATATAAGAAGATATATTTCGAATGGTGGCACAAGTTCACTAAAAATATTAACACTAACAGGATTCAAACTCGGATATGATGTGGAAGAAAAGTCTTGCAAAGCAGCTCTACTAAAGAAAACTTGTTCTTATTGTAGTTCCAAAATACATAAGGTGACACACAACAAACCAATACAGTTGTACCTTTCACAAATCTAAAATCTTTCACCCTTCTACGAAGGAATAATACGGTGACAGGCATCACATGTGGCACCATGTCGGGTCCGTTCTTGGTATTAAGGCATGAGGATACTAAATTGTATCTTAACTTGGAAATATTTGAATGCTCACGGACTCGATTTATCGGTCCTTGGTCCTTCGTGATGATATGACCATGAGGTTGGGTGAGCATCACCCATGTCGTCCCACAAAAAAAAGGGACAACATTAATTAATGTGGTCACCAAAAAGAAACTTTCCCTAAAGTGGGAATTAAACATTTGATTTTGAATGGCAGAGACCAAAGAAAATGTATTCTTTAGCGACAGCCGGAGGTGGACAATTTTGACTTTTGTCTATAGATACCATCAATGTTATCATTAAGCTAATAAGGATTTGTAAACATATATAATAAGAAAAACTCTACTAAAATGCGAATACCAATTAAGTTCGTACAACATACTCATAGTTTATGTATTATGTGGCCAATACTCGATATTCGATTTCTAAAGTCACTTTTAATGTCGAGAATCCTAATATGATAACGTCATAATGTTCAGATCACTGGTTTTCATCAAACTCGTACTAAATAAATATTGAATCAATGGTTATAAGGTTAAGACTCGCTAATAATAATTAATAATATGGATGTTTTAGGGATATAAACGTGACCTGTGAACTTATCCGACCGCAATATTTGATACCTAAGATAAGGATTCGTACCGTTTCACGTAAGCAGTCAATTGAAAATGACCACAAAGGTTGAAGAGTTAAAGAATATATCCTGAACCGTTGTATGAGATGATTCAATCAATATGATTGAAAAGATGGTTACAACTATCTTTCATTAACACAAAAACCTCCACTTATTTTTAATCGAAAATTTGGAAAACTAACCAAAATTGGAGTCAAACAAACAACACCAAAAAACCGACCATATTATTTTCTCTATAATTTGACTGATAATCTTGAGAACTTGTGCATCATGTATTAAGTCATATGAAATGTTTTTCATCTAAGACTAGGATTTAGAATATTAACTAACATATATTTGTTTAATGTGTTTGTTTCACATGTTCTCGATTCATAATGTGTACATCTTTTACGTGTTTGTGAAATAAAAAATACACATAAAAGGTTTTACATTGTGAATCGAATATATATGAAACAAATATGTGTTAATCAATACATTAAATATGTATTTGGACCGAAAAAAATCATGTGAAACAAAACCTTAATGTAGAAGTTCTTACGGATCTCACAAATTTTGAAGTTCTCAAATGATTAAGCATGTACATATATACATACATATACATATATGCATACATATACATACGTACATATATATATATATATAAGCGAAGGATCATGTGAGAAATGTAACAAGGGATTTGGACCGTTGATCACTATAAATTTCAAACCCACCTATGAATCGTGCTTGATATAGAGATTGATTCGGTGCATCTCATCTCGGTGTATCTCATCCTAATATGCATCTAAGGGTAATGATCTCTTCTCTTACGTTTCTAACTTTAACTCTTCTTCTAATCGGAATCCCACCCTCTCTCTCTCTATATATAATGTTATAAGTAAGAATACGTAAATATTATATAACAGTTATTAATAAAAAGCAAATTAAAATTTACCGAAAGTCAGGAAAACAACTTTACTCCCCAATATATGTTGTTGGAGGTTTAAACGAGAATACATTTTACTAAAATACGAAAACTCTCTTTTACTATAAAAAATCACATGCGATAAACATAATGATGAATCAGATGTGGACAACCTTTGGTGTGTCTTTAGTATATATAGTAAAAAGTTATGACTTAAGGTATTGTTTCACATATCTTTGTGTTCACATTGTGAAAAAAAATACATGTGAAACTTTTTTTGATTCGCCAAGTAAAACAAAAAATACATGTTAAAAAATTTCACACTGCAAATCTATCACATAAAGAAACAAAATATATGTGGAACGATACCTTACATCTTAACATTAATGAAAAAGATCACGTAAAAGATTATATTTAGATCGGTTCTCACAGATTTGTAATATTTTTTTGGTTCTCATTTGATTTGCTTCCTTGTATATGTGTATACACACATATATATATATATATATATATATATAGTTTCAAATTAGATATATATAAATAAATTTAGAGATTGAGAGAGTATTTGAAGGACAAACCTTACAACCTAACATTCACCATCCATCTCTCTTAATGTATATTTGTTTTATAAATAACTTGTTTGTTTCATAATATAAAGTAAAAATCATAATACATGAATTTTATTACTTTTTATAGATATCTCGATTATTTATTAATTATATAATTTAAGTAATTTACAATATTTGCATGATTAAATCATCTATATATAACATTATTATATTATATTATATTATATTATATTATATTATATTATATTATATTATATTATATTATATTATATTATATTATATACATGCATATTACTTTGTGGGTGACATATCCTAATGCTAGTTCCCCTTAAAGGGAAAGATGCCATTTCCCAAAGCATGATAATGGCAAGTGATCCGGCTTTCACTACTTCTTATCATATGATATATATACTTTAATAAAGTTATTTAATTTTAAAAAAATAATATAACTATTTTTAATAAGAAAAGAAATTGAATTATATATATATACCAATAATTATTATAAAACATCGATATGCATCTATGATGACCACGTTAAGAAACAAACAGATCTATATAAATAGCTAGACTTGAGCTCAACCAATGGGTATAGACCCGAAAACAAAACCGAACTACGTCACATCCGCACGTATCCCATTTTCACCCATAACAAACATCTTCCACAACTCATCACTCGATTTTAATGCCTTCAAAAGCCGTAAATTCATATCTTATGAATATCGTTACAACCTCCACAATTAGCGTGTGTGTATATATATATATATATATATATATAGATAGAGAGAGAGAGAGAAAATCGTGTAAGAATAAGAGTTAAGCTGAGAAATGTAAAAAGTGATTTGGACCTTCAGGAATGGACTCAGAAATATTTTCAAACGATGGCACCATTTGGTTATAAAAAATAAATATAGGAAAAAAAAATTCAAAATGATAGCGCCATTTAAATATAAGAGACAAATTTAGTGAAATTTTTTCAAACTGTGACATCATTTGACTAAGAAAATGACATTAAAAAACTTGTTCTCATGGGTAAAATAAAATTTTTGCAAACCAACTCTTCCAAAGAAAACTTGTTCTCATTATAGTTTCAAAATACATGCGGAGACACACAACAAATTAATATGGTTGTACCTTTCACAAACCTAACTTTTTTTATCTTTTGATGAAGAAATAATATGATGACACGTGTCAATGTTGGCACCACTGTAGGTCCGTCCATGGGACCCTTAATCAATTTTAATCTCAAACTCACCCATGGATCACGCTTGATACGGGAATTGATCTGGTGCATCTTGATGCATCTCATCCTAACGTGCATCTAAGAATGGAAATCCTTTCACTTTTCACCTTAACTCTCTTTTTTCATAGTAACCCGACCCTATATATATATACACATATATAAGTATATGTATATATAATTATATATGTATATGTATATGTATATATGTGTATGTACATGTATATATACGTATATGTGTATGTGTGTGTGTATATATATATATATAGAGAGAGAGAGAGAGAGAGAGGAGTGATTAGACGAGAAGTTAAACGTTTTACAAGAACACGAGAAGTTTCAATATCATACATGATTAATCGTCTATGTGTTGTCAATGTTACATAAGTTTAATCGTATATGATTAAGCTCGTGTATCATGCGTATAATCATATTCGATATTGAAACTTCTTGTCTTCTCGAAAAATATTTAACTTCTTGTTTGAACATGTCTGATATATATGCACACATGTATATGTATATATGTAGGACGATAATAAAAAATATGTTAGAAACCCGTGAGAACCGATATAAAAATATTTTTTTACATGATTTTTTTTCATCAAAACCTATGATTTAAGATATTGTTTCACATATGCGTGTGTTCACCTTATGAAAAAATTACATGTGAATTTCTTAGAAATACTATCATAGTTTATGAACATATTGTAGACACGCTCTAAATCTACAAGATCTGATATACATTGTGTACATACCGTAAACATCACCTAAATCAATAAAACTAGATCTAAACATAACACTTGTGGATATTATAATAAAAGATTTCTTAAGGTTTTTCAAATTGTGTGTACGTTTAATTATACGTGTATGTATGTTACAGAGAGGAAAAAGACATGTATTGGATTTCTAAAAAAATACAATAATTTTTATTTAATAAATAACGATAATTTTAATAAGATTGATTATATTAATTATTAATAACTTAGAATAAATCTTATAGATGAAACAAAATTCAGAGTTTATAAATGATTAAGTTGTTGTATATATTATCAAATTTAATTTTTATTCCACATGCTTTTTTGTTTATTATATTATCAGATCTGGTATAATTCTCTTACGAGATTGATACGCACTTTCCATATAAAGAACCAATATTTAACTTAACACCTAATTTATTAAAATTAAAATGTCAAAAAACAAGAAAAATATTATATTTAAATAAATACCCATGAAATACTTTTAGCAGATTAATATCTGTATATATTATAATTAATTACCCTCCACCACCGCCCCTCTTCATCAATAATATCTATATGCATATATCCTTTTCTTTTCATAAAGATTATATACTTAAAAAAATAATACAATGTTATTATATAAGATTAGTTATGAATACATAATTTTATTTTA